TACATATATATATATATATATATATATATATATATATATATAAAGAGAAAGAAAGAAAGAGATAGATATATAAATAGAAATAAGTAAGAACATTTATAAGATAGTGTAGTAGAGAAGAGCAAAAGAGTAAGTAGTTGGTCCAGTGGTTTCTCGAGTGTGATGGCGGTGACGGCGGCTGCGGCGGCAATGGCGGCGGCGTAAAACCGTCATTACCGCCAATTACAATAAATCCCGCACCGTATTCCTCTTATCGTTTTCCGCGCGTACGCTCGAGGTGCGGCGGCTTAATCTATAATCCGAAGCGAAGGTAACGGGGCGTAGTTCCATGTGCGTGCTGTTTTAAAAGATACTACCATATCAGAAAAAGGATGCTGAGAGAGTAGAGATAAGAGAGAGAAAGAGAAAGATGGAGAGAAAATGAGAAAAAGAGAGAGAGAGATAGAGAGAAAGAGAGAGAAAGAGATTGTACGTATATATATATATATATAAGCAAAAGAGAAAGAGACTGTGATAAAGAGAATAAGAAAAAGAGAAAGAAACTGTGAGAATGAGAAAGAGATAAAGAGATATAATAAAAAGGAAAAAGAGAGTGAGAGAGAGAGAGAGAGAGAGAGAGAGAAATAGAAAGATAGAGAGCGTATATGTGTATGTGTGTCTTTAAAAAGAAGATAGTAAGAGATAGGAAGAGAGAGAGAAAGAAAGAGACAGAAAAAAGAAAGAAAGAGAAAGAAAGATAGAGAAAGATAGAGAAAGAAAGAGAGAAAGAGAGAGAGAGAGAGTAGACATGGGCATGTAACAGAAACTGTTACCAGAGCAATCATTTTCCATGGGTACACTTTCACGACTGATGATCGGTTAGCGTTTCAACGTCGATCGGTACCGTCGTAATTGTAAAAGATTAACAGGAATAGAATCCGTTTGCTTCTAGAGACAGAAACAGTGCGTAATAAATATTCTCCTAATCCTTCTTCTAAATCGAAGACACATCTTCCTCTTAATATCAATTCAATCACAAATCCGGAATACATAAAGAATTTTTAATCTCTATCAATATACTTGTCTATGTTAACATATACATACATTCATATATATATATATATATATATATATATATATATATATATATTACCTCGTTCATTTCATTTCATTTCATTTCATTTCATTTCACTTCGTTTTGTTTCGTTTCCCTTCTCTCATCGAACTTCTTTTCATATTGCAAAGTATCGTAGTTGTTTATTAGTATATACATTTTATATATATATATATATATATATATATATATATATATATATCTACTTAACGTTTAACGAAATTTCCCGGGGCAACTCGGTCGTCTAAAGACAAGTGGAGTGAACGCACCCTCTCTCTTTCTCTTTCTATCCATCTATCTATCTATCTATCTACCTATCTATCTATCTATCTATCTATCTACCTATCTCTCTCTCTCTCTCTCTCTCTCTCTCTTTTTCTTTTCCTCTCTCTCTCTTTCTCTCTTCCTTCTTTCTTCTCAACTTCCGCGTTTTCACGCGCTCTCGAACGTTATCCATCAAAGCGCATGCAAACGTTGTACTTTAATGCGCACTCGTTTAACATCAGCTTCACGAGCCCGTAGTGTTGTAACTTCCAAGATAAAAGGATTGAGATTATAACAAGAAGAAACGTGTATATAGACAATTTCGATATATAATAAACCAGCTCCTATAACTATGTATATATACATATATACATATATACATATATATATATATAATATCTAAGTATAATTATTTACATTTACGAGATTATATGATTGTAAAAAATACATTAATAAATAAATATATTCAAAATATGTCATATGTTACCCATACACACACACACACACACAAACAAATATTTTATATATATATATATGAGATATTAGATGGTCTTTTCTAATACTTAGAAAAGATCGAACGAGTGAACGTTTAACTATCACGAAGAAAATCTACTTACGTGATCGTTATTGCCAATCCACACAACAACAAATGTCTGTTGAATTACACACTGTTACTCTCAAATATACATAGATACATATATACATAGATAGATAGATGCATACATAGGAGAGTACACCAACCATGGTCCAGATAGATCACGTCCGATATAATTAATGAGCACGAGCCGCAATTCCCATATACACCTCCGGCACTGTGGGTCCGCCCTAACAAGTACCTACCTATCTACCTACCTACCTACCTACCTACCTACCTACCTACCTACCTACCTACTACTCCTCGAAGGAGAACTTGGAGTCTAACCTAAACGAACTCGCGAACGATCGACGAACTCTGTTTATTCTCTTTTTCGTGAACTTATATCTGGATGAAAGAAAGCACGCTTTTCTTCTTCTTCTACTTCTTCTTCTAGTTCTTCTTCTTCTTCAGCTTCTTCTTATTTATCTTCTTCAGCTTCTTCCTCTACTTCTTCTTATTTATCTTCTTCAGCTTCTTCCTCTACTTCTTCTCCTTCTTCCTCTTCAGCTTCTTCTTATTTATCTTCTTCAGCTTCTTCTTCTACTTCTTCTTCTCGTTCTTCTTCTTCAGCTTCTTCTTATTTATCTTCTTCTTCTTCTCCTTCTTCTTCCTCAGCTGCTTCTTCTTCAGCTCCATTTTATCCTTTTCTTCTTCTTCTTCTTCCTCATGTTCTTCCTCTACTTCTTCGTCTTTTATTTTCTTCAATTTCTTCTTCTTCGATATCATCATTATCTCGTTCTTATTCTTCATCTTCATCTTTATCTTCATCTTCTTTTTGTTCTACATCTGCTCCTTCTTCTTCTTCTCCATGCTTGTCTTCTTTATCTTCTTCTTTGTCTTTTTCATCCGTTTATTCATCATTTGTCAATCATCATCATCTTTTCTTCATCTTCTTCTTCTTCTTCATCATCATCATCTTCTTGTGTATCTTCTTCTTCATCGTCATCTTTTTTTTGTCTTTTTTATTTCTTCTTCCTTATCTTCCTCTTCCTTATATTCTTCATCTATTTCTTCATTCCCTTCTTCATCTTCTTCATCATCTTCCATTTCTTCTTCTCCGTGTCTTCTTTTGTTTTTTATTTATCTTCTTCTTTTTCAAACATATCGAGTTCATCTTCACGTTATTTTCACACGTACGGTTAATATAATAAACTTACCTTTTTCTTTTCTTTCTTTTCACACGAATATTATACGAATCATTAACCGACGTAATTACACTCACGAAATCATTATTTCATATCTAAATTGTATTTCACAATAATTTAATAATATCTATTTCATATCTATAGAAATAATATTCTATTCTTAATATATTTTATTATTATTTTATTTTTCTTTTTTCTTTTTTCTTTTTTCTTTTTTCATACGATATGGATATTATTTATTATTTTGTTTTTATCATTTTCTATGATATTCAAAATTTATTATCTATCGTCCATTTGATTATTAATGATTTTTTAATTATTAATGATACTATTGATCGACTATTAATCTCTCTCTCTCTCTCTCTCCTCTCTCTCTCTCTCTCTCTCTCTCTCTCTCTCTCTCTCTCTCTCCTCTCTCTCTCTCTCTCTATCAATAATATTTATTATATTCCAAGTATCTAAAGAAAAAATAAAAAATAGAAAAAAAAAAAGAAAAAGAAGAAAAAGAATTAAAATTATTTTTCTTATAAGAGAAAAGATTCGATCGATAAAAAAGAGACAAATTCACGGTGAGATTTTCGGACACCATACGCCCACGTTCTCTTGACCGACAACACGACGATCGAAAACATCGACGATCCAGAAAACACGTTGGATCTCTTACGTAGGTATTTAAGGTACAGAATCCAACAGTTCGAGATCGTTATAAATTTAACGATAACAGTACGCTCTTTTATCTTATTACACCGTTACGTCGTGTCTTCTTTGGTATAGTAATACTTTCTCACGAGTCTTGTGAAAGAACGTTTCTTAATTCTTACTTCTTTTTTCTTTTCTTTTCTTTTTTTTTCTTTTTTTGTTTATTCTTTTTTCTTTTTTTTTTTTTTTACAATAACGGACTTTAAAAACCATTTAAAATGGGGTTGGCATACGAAAAAGGAAGGGAAAAAAAAGAAAAGAGATAAAGATAAAATGAAAGAGAGAGAGAGAGAGAGAGAGAGAGAGAAAGAGAAAATCAAACAATTTGAGATACGATACAAAGAGACTAATTACTTATTATAATTAAGTAAAATTAAACGAATTAAAATATGATTGACAAAAAGAAAGACAAAATGAAATAATTAAATCTTTCCAAATGTGAAAATATTCATTACTGAAATGAAAGCAAATTAAACGATTTTGAGATATGTTAAAACTTGAGAGAGAAAGAGAGAGAGAAACTGACCGATGAGAGAGACACAGAATGAAAAAAAAAAGAAATGTTTAAATATTATACTAAACGAGATAATATATTTGACAGAAATTAAATGTCGATCGAAGTTAGATCTATGGATTCGTTCGTTGATTGAGATAGATTAAATCTAAACGATTAAAATTCGGGGGGGGGGGGGGTCGTTGATTTGGAGCACAAATCCATTTTATAAAAAAAAAAAAAAAAAAAGAAAAAAGATAAAACAAAAAAAAATAAATTGGTTAAAGGCTAATTCTCACTACAGATGAATATAAAATTTATGTTTCTCAATCGATTCACAATAAAATATCTTTTTCAATTTAATATCAATTATAAATTTCTTAGTTACTAATAATTTATTTCATATAAATTTAATACATATATATATATATATATATATATATATATATATGTATTAAGACGACAAATAGGATTGTAAATAAAATGATAAAAAATATCCTTTTAAAACTTAAACCATTCAAAAATACATGCCATTAAATATCTAGCAATAATATTAAATGAATTTGTTTCACATTCAAAATCAACATTAGATGTATTATAAAAAAAAAAAAAAAAAAAAAAAAAAAGATACACAAAAAAAGAAAATAAAAAAAAGAAAAAAAGAATACTCACCGCAGGTAGAGGTAAAATCAATGGGACTTCAATATCTCTCGATCCACCTTTGTCTTCTTCTTTATCTTCGTTCCTTTCTTCTTCTTTTCCTCCTCCTCCTCCTCCTCCTCCTTCACTCCTCGCTCGTAAAGGATTTGTTTTTTCATCGTTCTCAATATCTCTTGTAATGTTCGTAGAATTCAAATCCACAACGTTAAATTCATTAACACTTAAATCATGTGAAACTTCGGTCGCTATAAGTGTATCATTAGAATCGCACTTTTTCAAATACGTATCATCCTTGGATAGATTAACGATCGTCGTTATCGAATCATACGTATCGATAATATCCTTATCGTTATCCTTTCGTATATGAGATTTTCTTTCGTTATTGCAAATTTCATCGACGGACAAATCTACGTCATCTTTCTTCTCTAAGGAAACGTTCGTTCTACTTTCACTTTCAACGACAACGATCCTATTATTATCATCATCATCATCATCATCATCATCGTTCTTCGATGATTTAACGAATAATAATGGATCATCAATGTGATCATCGAAATTCGTTAAAACTTCTCGATCATATTTTTCTTCGTTTAATCTTTGATCCGACAGATCCGTATATTTTTCTATATAATCATCTGATTCCTCGTGATCGCGACGTGTCGATGATAACGATTGATTATCCTCAAGATACCAAGACGTACAATTCTCTTGGCGTTTCTTTTCGACAACGTTTTCGTCACCCTTCGACAATGCACCCTTGCATTTTCGAAGATAACTCTTAACTCTCTTGGTTTTACTCTTCCTTGTTTCCTGACTACGTGGCAAATTAACGTCCACGCTGTTATCTGTATTATCCGATGTTAATGATTCTTTTTGTTGCGTTTTGCATGACACATTTTTCTCAAAATCCTGCGATATCTTGGATTTATCATCGGCGAGCTCGTCTAACGATGTGGATGATGTTTCTTGTTGATCATTCGGTAATGTCCATATTTCTTCTTTCTCTGGTAAACGACGATCAGCCGGTATCACCTGAAAAAACAAAAAAAATGGACATATGTTTGTTAATATATTCCATTTTTTTTATTAATATATATTATAATATTATTATTATATAATAAATAATAACATCGTATATACATATATTATATTATATATATATATATATATATATATATATATATATATTATACCAAATCATATCATATTATATTATATTATAATATACTATAACATAATAATAATAATAATAATAATATATGGATAACATATAAATATATCCAAGAGAAATGAGATTGGATATGAAAAATAATTCGTAAAGGGACATCCCCTGTATAAGGGTAATAATCTTATATAAAAGTGATCGCAAACTAAAGATCTAACTTTATGAACGATCGATGGAACAAAGAATGGAACGTACAAACAACGAGGTCGATCCTCTTACGACCTTATGCAACCAACGTTTCTCTTAGCGCTTTATACGCGGAGGCGTGGCTTAGAACTATATCAGTGACTGTGTCAAGCAAGGTCTACACTCTGCTTGTATAAAACAAAGGGCTTACAGTAAATATTGACTACAACGAAGACGACGACGATAGTAGTGGTGGTGGTGATGGTGGTGGTAGTGGTGGTGATGGTGGTGGTAGTGGTAGTGATGATGGTGACATCGGTGAATGAGGGGTAAGATGTAAAGGGGGTTATATAGGTGTAGAGGGGTTATGGTTGGAGGATTGGTGGGGGTTGTTAGCTTGCTGGTTAACTGGCTGTTCAACAGTGGGTGCCAGCGGCGCCATCGAGCTAATGTCAACCACACAACAGAACATAACGATGATATTTTACAACACGATTTAACAGGACAATTTCAAACTCGCACGAAGTCGTAATATTAAACAGTAAATATAATAATCTTTTTATGGTGTAATATCCATTGATATTTCATAATTCTCTTCCTGAACTTACTGTTTCTCTTTCTTCTTCTTCTTCTTCGTTTTCTTTTTCTTTTTCTTTTTCTTTTAAACTTATAATTCCGATATTATCGTGGAAAAATGATCGTATTAAAAATTGCAACGGCAAATTTCACACTGGTATTAAATAAAATTGAACTCGTTTAATTTTTCTAAACTTTTGTGTTCATTCTTTTTTTTTTCTTTTTTTTTTGTTTTCTATTTCTTCTTTTTTTTTTCTTTCTACCTTCGATCAATTTTATCGAAGCAAAATTCGTTCTATATGACTTCGTTGTCTACAATAATTATTTCAATTATCAACGATCTCTTATATCTCATGATTAAATTTCTATTTAAAATAAATAAATAAATAAATAAATAAATAAATAACAATCGCACGAATTTAAAAAGATATTAACAATTTCTATATACCTATGATATATAATAAATATATTTCGTATTTCTCAATTACTATAATAGTCGTTTAGATTTACAGCACAATCACACTTTGAGAAGCAAAAAGATAAAATGAAAAAAAAGAGAGAGAGAGAGAGAGAGAGAGAGGGAGA